ACCCAAATGGGTGGGACAGAAGCGGAAGGTAGTAGCGTTTAGAAGAGGATGTGATGAGAACATTAGTTTATTTTCTATTTAAACATAAAAACAGCATTTTAATAACAACTAAAGGTGACATAGATACTTTATTATGGTATAGTATTTAAATATATGCCTGAGAAACACATAATATTGGCCCTTTAAAAACACTCTTAGCAAATTCAAGACCCCAAACATCCATAAATCAAGAAATTAAATTTGCACAATTGTTTTCTCATGTTAATGATTATTGCGCTCTTAATTAAAAGGAAAATGTGTTAAAAAAAATAAACAAACTTGTGAACAGATGCCAAAGTGTTTGTTTATCTGTGGAAACGGCTGAAGCAACTAAAAGCAGGTCAAAAATAAAAGGGATTTACATAAAACTAAAGAACAACTAACGAAATGCTGAATTAAATCAAYGCAGAAAAGATTTATACGGAACACGTCTTTACACATCTGAGAAATTATGTAACGTTTTTCAGATTTGTTTTGTAAATCCAAAGTGGTTTGCATAAAGCTGAGCCATTAAAGCCATTTTTATAGAAAAACAAATCACAGAATTCATCAGAGAATGTAGTTTATTCTGTTTTTTAATTTAAATATTTTAATGAACATTTTGAGCTGTGTGGAGCTCTTCCATCAAACCAGCTCCTCTCGAACTGTTCAGCTTCCAGCTCAGGAAACAACAGCTGCAAAAACTCAAGACCCCAAATATTACAAGAAGAAATATCCACTAATGACTTTATTAAACAAGAGCATAATTAAAACACAAAAGATGGTTTTTCATCTATGATTATTGCATTAATTTACTGTAATAATTATAGTAGAAATATTACATCACTTGATGTTTCCTGAGCTCAACTTACAAACTGCAGATTTAAACAGAATTTTCTTCTTTTCTTGCTTTTTCAAATCACTGCTCACTTCTCAGTTTTCTAGACATAGATCACTTAAAGCAGGACCAGATGTCTGTTTTCATAAATAATATATTAAAAATGAGTCCGAGCTGATTAATGTTGTCTGTGATGCACATCTTTGGTAGTTCATGTTGTTTTATAGTAATACTTGTAAATCTGTGTTGCGTCAATCCTGCTTTAAAAACCCTGCTGTTGGAGGGAATCTCTTCTCATCTGTTGCCTAGAGACTGATGTGGAAACATGAGAGAAAAGAGAAGAAAGAGAGAGAAAGTGGTTATATGTTGGGATGAAAGCTGGGATGGAGAGAACAGAGAGCAACAAAAAGTGTCCAGAGTTCAGAAGATACTGGTTCAAAAACAGATCTCTTCTTCAAAGATGATGGGGAAAAAAGGAAATGACACAAAAACAGACATAAATCTAATTTTGCTGCTGTTGTTGGTACCTGTCATGATCACAAAGAAGATAAAATGTGTTGGTTCCATCTTAGAATTTAGTAATTTAATGTTTTTTGTAACAGTAAAGCAGAAATAAGTCTGTATGAAGGAAACGAGCCTAATCGTCTTTAGTTAAAAGATGCACTCATACCAGTCAAACTGAGTACAAGTACTTTAGATTGGGTACTCGCTGGTTCCGAGTACTGACATGAGTACTTACTGAGAACTTAAACATTACACAGTGATTATAAAAACACAATTTTAACATTAGAATCTGGTTCTAAATCTGATTCATCTGATGTTTGTCAAAGTGAACCTCAGTCTTAACGGTTTATAATCCTGGTCCTCGAGGACCATTATCCTGCAAGTTTTAGTTGTTTTTCTGCTCTTCAGCAGGTTTTCAAGTTCTGCAGAAGCCTGTCAATCACTCATTCATTTAAATCTGGTGTGCCGAAGCAGTAAAACATCCAAAACATGCAGGATAGTGSTCCTCAAGGACCAGGATTGAGAACCACTTGTATAAACAGTCATACTTCATTCCTCAGATGTTAGTGTCTGTGAGGTGGTGGTATACAGATCAGTCTAAGTAATAATGATACCAACCTCGAGCCGTGAAGTTTAAATCTTGTAGCACCACAAGTCTTCAGCCACAGAACAGTCATCCATCTCCTGGATGACTGAGAGTCCACAGAAACGTCTGATAGTAACGGTGTCAGACGGTGTCGATGATATTTTCGTTTACTTGGARCACGTCACGTCGCTCTTGTTCCATAAAACACACGCTTCACCGGAGCTGCCGACCACAGGGAGGTTAAAATGTAAACAGTGACCTAAACGAGCGTGTCACATAATTATTTAACCTGTTCTGATTGCAGGGTTCCCACGGGTCCTTGAAATCCTTGAAAGTTTGTGAATTTGAAAAAAATAATTTCAAGGCCCTAGAAAGTTTGTGAAAACAGCCAAAAATTACACTTGTCCTTGAAAGTCCTTGAATATTTTGGGGGGACTGAAGTTTTCTATTCACACGACTGATTTTCACCATTTGTAAAAATAAATAAATAAATAAATAAATAAATAAACTTACTCTCGTTGCGGTGGATAATTCAGGATTACTGTAAACCAACGTGACCTTCAACAAATAATGTGAGCTATAGTCATAGTTTTAGCCAATCAGAGCAGGGCGGGTCTTTCTGAGCCCAGGTGAGAGCACCACAGCTCCTCCTGTCCTCACCGAGGGTCTGAACCTGTTCACWTCTCCTCCTCCCAAACTGAGCTGCTGAACCTCCCAGGACATAATTACATGTTCATGTATTGTGGATATGAATGTAGGGTAAACATTTAATCCACTTTCTTTCATTGATTCGGATTCAACAACTTCTATGTTGTTCAGTTTTTCATTGACTTTACATGATATGTAACCTGTTTATTGGTAACATTCTGTGGTAGGTAGTTGCCGTCAGGCATGGTTCTTGAAATTGAGGAAATTGGTACTGGAAAGTACTTGAAAGGTCCTTGAATTTGATGTTGAGCGAGGTGTGGGAACCCTGTGATTGAACAACTTCAGAATCAACAAGCGAAGAAGTAGCATCCACCGTAGCSACCTGTTGTTTACTCCTGAGCRGAATGTGACGTCATGTCATCTTCTGCGTGTGCGTGTCACATCGACGGCATAAAGCATTCACWCTGAAGTCTAATGAAAGTTGCATWTATGYGAACTTCCATGCAAAAAAGAAACAAAACGTATTGGTTCCGTGTATTGGGGCGTTTTGAACGAGGACTTTTAAAATGCTGATATCGAGCTGATACTGTATCTGTGTCTAATGCATTATTTACTTTTATGTTACTCTGTATGCTATCTGTTTGTTTTAACTCTATTTATGCAAAAATGTTGTTTTTTTGCAGGTTTTTGCAAGAAACATTTTCTAAAAATAAGTCTGTAAAAGCTCCTAAAATGATTAGTTAYGTCCATTAAGCAACAACAGCTCTTGATGGATTAAACACGCAGTGTTCCAAAAACAATAAGAAAGTCGCTGCAGACTGCTGGTAATTTGTTTCTCAGGTTGTTCCGCCGTCAACTGTCGTCGCTTCAATTCATCAAACAGCTTTTGACGTATCGCTGCCTCTCTGCTCACACAGACACATGACAAATTAGAGAGACAACTTGGAGTAATGAGTCCCTGGGGTCTTAAAGCATTTTCATCTTCTGAGGAAACGAGTTAAAGGAGGGGGGGGGGGAACAGAAGAGAAGAGTGGAGGATGGGGTAAGCAGGTGATGGCATCAGAGAGATTAGGAGGTAAAGTCAGAGTAGGGGCGAGGAAACGAGAAGCTGAAAAAAAAAGGTTTGAAATTAGGAGAGGAAACAAGGACAGTGTAAAGTAAACAACACTTGAGAATAAGGAGAGAATAAACCAGGATAATAGAAGAAGCAGAAATGTGAGGGGGGAGGATCAWACCTGATTTAATGTTTTGTTTTTCWCCAGCACCTGTCCAGCAGACACAGTGTCCAGCAGAGCACCACTCAGGTATGTGCTACATTATTAATATGTGCCTTTCTAAAACTGTTATCTTGTTGAAGGTTATGTAATTGATCTGTTATGAGGGTTTAGTTACTTTATTATACGTTTATCTGCCGGGTATTACAGGGGTTTGTTAGTCTCTATGGTCAAATTTGACATATTTGCATTGATTTGCTTCTACTTTACTCATGTAGAATTATTGTGCACCGTCCCTTATTTAAATAAATAAACCTATAATAGACATGAGAATTTATCCATTAAAAGATTTTCAYATTTTAAGAGTCCTGATTGACACTTTTTGCGGGTTTCCAGGGTGAGAACTCTCGACAGAGACATGGAGAACCTTGCCGGGTTCCGGTGCCGCACCACCTACTGGTCAATCTGAAGAGCTTCACCTACAACAGCATCGGAGAGGACACGGACATCTTCTTCTCTCTGTATGACCTGAGGGAGGGAAAGATGATCAGGTACACACTCAGTGTTGGTTTTTCTGTTTGTGTGTCTCGTCTTTGTGTTTAAGCTGATTTAACTGAGGAAACTCTGCAAGATAAATCATGGTTCTTACCTCCTGTTTCATCATTAAGTCAAACTCTTTTTTTTATCTCAGTCACAGGGAAGGATTTTTTTGTTCAAGTGCACGTGTGAGCAATAACAAAACATGACTGATTTAATTAAATGTTAATAAAAAGAAATCGTAGGGAAGAGTAATGTAAATTGACTTAAACCTGTGCTGTAAATATTTGTGCAGCTTGCTTTACTGCAGCAGAAAACCTGTGCTCTTGCAATGATGGCAAAGGAAGATTAAACTTAAAGCTTGGTTTTATCTATAAAATGCTGTAGTGGTTCTGGAGTTTTAAGGGGGAAAAAATCCTCCCGAAGAGGCAGAAAACCGATGGTGATGCACAAGAGATGAAGTATAACATTAACCTCGACGGCTCTCATGAAGTAGGRCTGCAGCTGAGCTTTAGACCCGACAGATCTGTGTCCTGAGAACTGCCTCCAGCTGGAGGTGAATCAGACGGAKCTGATACTGAAATAACAACAAACAGCAGTTGAACTGACTCGTCGAGCAAAGTGTTGATAAATCAACAGTGGGAGAAAATACTCATCAGTCTTGATGTGAGGGAAAGTAAAACGGAAGCTCACACTTGATTTTMCTTCACTGATTAACTTTCTGCCAAGCTCCGTTCCCTTTTCTGCGAGATTTTAATTAATTACTTTATTTTTGTCATTGTTATTGTTTATGAGTGAAATTCACAGAGAACTCGGCTGAAAACTTTGATGTGAAAACAGAACTTTGCAAAACATAACTCTTAAATCCCCTGCCAGGAAACAATGATGATAAACTCATAAAAAATGCAACATTTTGGAAACGTTAAAGTGTTTGTGACATTTACAAGTATGAATGCATTATTGGAAAGATAACATTGATGATGTGTTGCAAAAAAAAGTCACACCACTGAGATGAACGGCTGTTGAGATCTTTGCATTTGAAGTAACAGGAAGTGATGTCAAAGGTGATTGTCTGAACGTGAACATAGAATTGCCACAACCACTAACAACACAGACAGTAGAGAAGACTCTGATGTTTATTTAGATAATTTTGTGTCACTATCAGAGAGATGAAGAGTCAGAGTTCAAATAATMTTGTTTCAATAAACAAAATCCAGTTTTTTTTTTCTTTTTTAAAGAGTTCCYCTTTGATGTCACTTCCTGTTCAACTTTGGCTGAGCAAAGTTCAAAAATAAAGTATGCTAAATATGTGAATAAAATGGGTAAAATTGTGTGTATTAGGCCAAATTTCTTAAATAAAGTGTTCTTTGACTTTTTGTATTTGAATAATTATGTCACAGACACTTTAAAGTTGTTTAGTTTCGTTTCAAACTCCTTTTGTATGGCGCGGTATGTGGGCCAAAATTAAGATTATTGTGCAACCAGCAGTTGTTTCTTCCTTGTAGCAGGAGGTTTTATCTATTCCTAAGCCAGCTACTGATCTGATTAATGATAGGCYGGCACCGCTAACTGAGAGGCCGGCGCTGGCWAATGAGGAGATTATTCATTTGCATTAGCSTTGAAGAGGCTAGTGAYTAGCATRCCYAGGCTGCTCACCTACCTTTTTTTAGAGAGAAAAAAAAAACACTGCCATCGACCAATAGACAAGGGTAAACACAGCTGCTAATTCRGGTAGTAASTAAAGCTGTCTGCTCCRCAGTAATRTGTTTTATGTTTAATATTTATGCTTGAYGTCACGTTGAACRGTAAATTATGGTYACAGAAACACCTGTCKRTGTGTTTCGCTWWTAGGTTTTGTATGTCAACCATTTTAGTTGAGAAAGTTTTCTGTATTGAAAAAGTTAGTGTCTGATAAAGTTAGGTGAGCAGCCYAGGCATGCTAGTTTCTCACCTCTCCAACGCTAACACCAGCTTATCCATGCTAGTTTCCAGTGGTGGGCACAGTTCCCCTAAAGCACTAAAGCACTCACTGGGGAACTAATTTCCTGATTAGTGCTTTAGGGCTTTTGCTAATTTCTTAATTCATTAGTGGATTAGCACTTGCTAAATTTATGGGCTCAATTTATAAGCACTAATTGAGTTCTTTAAATATTATTGATCAATATTATTGTCAACAGCTGAGGGTGAAAGCTGTCAGACGTGTTGTTCATTTGTGTGTCACTTATCCACTAAATAAGTGGTTTTGTAACTGTTTCTGCTTCTGACCCACAAAATAACAGTTGCAGATGCTCGTGACCCCATATTTTACTTTTTTACCTACGCAAACTTTGCAAATAACTCGGTTAAACATGGGAATAATAACTATAAACAAACCTAGTAACTATGATACAAATATTTATTCATTTTTGATTATTTCAAAAAATGGCAAAAATCACGATGAAAATATTCCATTTGCGATTTTTTTGCATTTAAACTGATGTCTGGAAATTATCTGGGGACCACCACTTGATRTTTTGTGACCCACAAAGAGGTCCCGACCCCAACTTTGGGAACCACTGATCTAGATGAAATATYAACAATATTCTGCACACAGAAAATATTGTCTCATGTCGACTCTGAGGAATGTTCCATGGGTCCGCTGGGTTTTTAGTGCTTTAGAATTAGCTTTGGCTAAACTTTTAAGTGTGTTAGTGCTTTAGAATTAGGGGACCTAAATAATAAAGTTAGTGCTTTATGGTTAATGCAACTAATTTTTWTATTAGTGCTGCCCACCACTGCTAGTTTCTAACCTCTSCAGTGCTAATGCAAATAAATAGTCTTTTTCTCATTTGCAGCACCAGTCTCAGTTATCGGTGCCAGCCTATCATTAATCAGATCAATAGCTGGCTTAGGAATAGATAAAGYCTCCTGCTAAGGATGTAGCARTAATCTTAATTTTGGYCCTCRTACCATGCCGTACTTTTGAGTGATTTACATGCAAGTGATCAACTCTGACGTCGCTGTTCATGGTGTGTTTTTGGTTGAAAAATCTTGATTATATATTAAAATAAATACAGCCAAACAGTACAGGTGCTTTTAGGAGAGTTTCATAATTTATTTCYACTTTTCCTCCAGGAATGGTCCTGATTGAGATCAGTTGTGGCAGCATCTCATGACTTCATCTCTAACGTCTCTCCCTCTCTGCAGTCATGTGTCCTTTCTGCCTGATTCTCTCCGTTCCCTCATATCGCCCTAATACCGCAGAACAAATATCGTGTGGCCACACACAGCTGCTGTTAATAATATATGACCTCCTGCCTCTCCACTCCCTGTTTAATGAAAGGTCATCAATTATACATTCTTGGAGGGAACACAGATAAACAATTGTTAAGGTCAGTAAATACTGATGTGGGCCAGCCGTGGTCACCGTGGGAGTGAGATAAATCTTTATGTTTTTGTTTATATGTTGCTGCAGAAAAGAGGAGGATTTCTGTGCATTTGTTTAAACAAGAGGCTCAASAAGCACTCTGTCTTCCTAAKCTTTATTKTGTTCATTTATTTTTCCTCGGCCTCGCTGCGAACCAGCTTTGTCCTCTCCTAACAAACACCCAGCTGAGCCCACAAACACGTTTGACCTTGGCAGGCTGATTACAGGCTCCGTGCTGACTCAGCATCCAGGTCTGATGGCCGGACCTGCTCCTCTGAGGTGCTCAGATGACAGAGAGCGGAGCAGAGGAGAGGGGAGAGGACGAGGTCATGGCTGTCTTGTTTTCCAGAACTCCTCGGGCCGTTGGACTCACCTCACACCACAGAGACCGTTTGGCCTCAAAGCAGCTCTGCTTCCAGCAAAAACTTTGGTGTCTTTGTTTAGTTGTTACTAATTGCCTCCAGAATCCCAGTAAGTTCAGCTTCAAGGTCAAGGCTTAGTTTTGTGATGTCTTTTTTATGATTTTAGCCTGGTTCCCCTAAGTCCTTATCATGTTTCTTTTTGAGAGAAAACATTTCACAGATTTCTCCTCCCTTCTTTCATTTCAGTTACCACAGTAACAAAATRTCTTCCATCCTTCAGAGACCAGTTTGAGCTCCTGCTGCAAGTTTTTGTTAATTTGAGTGAAGCAAGTAGATTTTTTTTWAATCTTTGGGGAAAAAWTTTTTTTCACTTCATGCAGAAGACATATTGATTTTCTTACTTCCAACTGAAGTTATTTCTCTCTGACTAATTGCATTTTTTTTATTTAAAGGGGCAATATCATGTAAAATCAACTTTTTTGAGTTTTATATCATGTTATAATGTTATACTC